TTTGGAAGGAGACACTCACATTGAAGCCGTGAGAAAAGGACAAAAATATTTTACCAACAGTACGTACCAGCTATCGTAAAATATAATTACTTTGTGTAAAGTTATTTAAATTACAACACAAATCTGGCCAAAAATACAAGTTATATCTTCTAATATCTTTCCTAAATAATTTAATTTCAGTTTGTGTACTGTCTTTAATGATTATATTTCATGAAAGATTCTCGAAATAGATTTACGGTGGCGAGCGTAAGCCTGGCTTCTAATGCCAATGTTTTATTGCTTTTCGACTCGCATATATGAGAGTGTAATATTAATCAAATACGGATGAAAGAATGAGAGGGCTTGAGGTCGGGGAGTGGGGGTAGGTGATAATGTGAGTGGGCTAGTGTGGATCATGGAGTGGACATCTGTCTTAGTTATAATACTGCGCATTCCACAAAAAAACAAAACAAAACAAAAAAAACAGTTAAACAAAATACAGGAAAACAAAGAGGGAGAGCCGCGCAACAAAAGATCACAGTACAAAGTTCGCTGTTTCATTGAATTAATCGTCCTGAAAACAAACTAATGATTCACCTTTTAGACTTCTATCGTCATTTCGTGTTAAGTCAAGAAGTCCGTGCAAAATAGCACGTACATTGTATATAGGTAATTGAACTTGAAACTTAAGTGACGTCAATTTATTGATTGAACAGCTGGTTAAGTTCCTTAAGAAGAATCGCATTTGCGGTCGTCAGTTACATCTTTCAACTATACCTTACATGACAGACCAGTTTCTGCCTTTTTTAGATTAATTCCGCATAGGCACTTTGTAGGTAATCATGGCATAATTGAACGTACCTGAGGAAAGACGATCTTCTTACATTCTGTTCCGGCAGTCCAAGAGTCCAAGGAAGTGATTCCTAGTTGTGCTCCTTTGGGAGCAGATTGTAGGGCAACCCAGTTTATCTCAGCAGTTGAATTTGAGCCGTTGCTGTACTCGTAGATACAAGCGCGGAATTGAGTTCTATCTGCCGATTCCACCCAAATAGCAGCACCATTACCACGGGCCTTGTTGTTAACCGAGTGACCAAAGGAAGCAAAGACTTTTACTTGCTTTCCACCAGAGAACGGTTCAGCAAATGTGATTGTCTCACAAGCGAACAATCCTGGACTTTTGACAGTGACGTTGGTTTTTTCAGCTTTGAAACTGATTGCTATAAGAGAAGAAAGTGAGTGAAAGTAAGCTCCCTTTGCCTCTTGGCTATTTACAGTGGCTGCAATATTTTTATATTTCAATAATTTCAAAACGCCTTGAGCGCAATGCCTGAACATAGTTCCGTAACTTGCCCTTTCCTTGTGCGCCCTACCCCCGATTCCTGCGTCTTTCTTGAAATGAAACTTTCATGAATTTTAACGTAGAAAATGACCATCAAATATCAGCATTTAAAGGCATATTCGTAAAACATTTCAATAAGCAAATACTTCATGGTACCTTGACTTCCTTGAGCAAGAAGCACAGCAATGCATACCGCGTAGAAGACAAACGGAAGCTGTTGCTCTCCCACCATCTTGGCATAACTGAGGAAATGCTTCCTCTCACGCGAATAATATACAGATTGTCTTTACGTGAAGGCATCATTTCTGTTGCGTGGACAGATGATGGAGCAGTAAAGCACCAAATTACCAAAAATGGACAAAATTTATCAGTCCTGAAGTTAAGGTCGAGTAAAGGGGGGGAAACACTCGTCGGAGAATTGGCCTAAGTATTGCAGTAAATCATTCTGATTTCACAGAAAAATGACCAAAGAAAGAAAGAAGGTAGAACTTACGTGAACTCCCTCAGGCCCCTTTTCTCTCCAAGTATTTCTCCCCCTCTCACTGTTTTGCCCCTTAGTGGTTTAATCCTGACGCTTTGAATAAACATCTTCCCTTCACCTATACATCATACTAAGTACGTGTCCCAAACAAATAACGGGAATTTTTGCATATACTTACCTTATTCCTTTACTTTCTCCTTTTCCTCTATAGGCAACTTCTCCAACTGCATATCAAATGTTTCACTGTGACTTTTCGCTTTAATTCAACGTTCCCGTGATGTACTATTTTGCTTTGGTAGTCAAGTGTCAAGAGTTGCGCAGCTTCTTTTGTGCCTGATATTGCAAAGGTCATAGACGGTTTATTCCCTTTTCTCAAAATGAGCACAGACAATTTTGCTCGATCAAGAAGAAGTAAAAATAAGTTCCACCGGCCCGCTGCCATCCCATAGCTCTACAAAGTGATTGTTAATAAGAATTTTAATACCTCTATGTGATGCACTTGTCAGTTTTTTTCCCTTTGTTTCTCTGTGTGTAAGAGTTGGAAGCTAAGAGAAGATTATAGTGTTCAGTCCTTTTAACGATTTAAGCTTCCCAAAGCTTTTAAACTTTTAAGAAGGGTTTGATATTTGTGATGTCTGATTTAGACCAACAAAGAAATAGGAAGCTACTAAAGAAAGTTGTTTCCTCAAAACTGAATAGTTTCAATTTGGATGAAAATGCTGGACCATTCATCCCTTTTGAAAGTGATACCTAACAAAAAATCCTTGAAGGACTGTCCACAATCCAAAGCTGAGTGCTAATGGCGAGATTAGATCGCACAAGTGGCTGTTCCAACACTAAAGAGGTGACTTTAACTTGCCTAGCTACCCCATATTCCCTCCTAACTTCATCTACCCAGCGCTCTCAACGCAGGATTTGTTTACAGTACGCTTTTAGTCATTTTTTTCTGATAAAAAAAATAATCGGTCTAAACGACCAAATATATTTCACCACCCTTGGGAGGGAGCAGTGTCATAATTTGAATGAATTTGAAGTTCACACTGTTATTCTAAGAGAAAATGGTCAGTTCAAATTGCTGCTAACGACGCTTGCGTGATTAATGATTCAATCTTTCTCAGTACGCTCTGGTTCATTTTTCTTTTCGAAAATTCTGATATGACCTTTTGTTAGCACGATATTATACTTCCCAATGTAACCCCAGTGTATTTCATTGTGTTTTTACAATAATTTTTGGTAATCTGAACTTCAGGAGTAAAAGAGAAGGTCATCCCTAATGACATCAAAGCCAACCGCACTGCACGAATTGTATGTTTACTAACAAAGGTATGGCACATTTCCCAATTTTTGCTTTAGTCTTGATTTTTTGTCTCCACGTTTTCTTTTGTATTGTACATTTTAACCGATTATGACTCGTAAGATCATCTGACTAATCGGTTACTGAACGCTGGCACCGAAAATCCACCTCTTGACTAAAGCAAACCAGGCCGCTTGCATTGCTTCAATTCTTTAAATCGGGCCTCTGAGCTCTCGACCTTTATAAGAGAGAATTGGGGGCCTGTCTAATCCTCTCTTAGTTTCTGCTATGTCATGTTATGACAGAGCACATATATTGGCCTTCCTAAAAACTTTTATCCCGGTACACCTGAGCACATCACAAAAACGTTAATGGGGGCGGAGAGAGGATTGTGAGGGGTGGGGCTGCATGGTTTATTGTTGGGCCCAGGTAAAGTATCCTTTGAAACCCTTACTCCCTAAAGAGAACCATCGCTGTGGGGAGGTTAGTTCCCTCCCCCCTCACCTGTGTCCTCCGGCCTCTCGCACCTCATACTACTTCCATGCGCCCGCTACATAGGTTATACATATAGAATACTTCATGGAAAGTGCGGGCGTACGGTATTTTCGTACGAGTTGTTGACGTACTTCCAGAAATCGAAAGAGGGAGATTTCTGATACAAAAAAAGGGATCTCGGAAATACCGTACACAGCATTTTCCGTGTGGTATATTGTTTGTTAGATACAGAGACGTTCATCATTGATTCTGCAAGCCTTTTATTTCAAATCTTTTCGACATGCTAAAATCTGAAAAAAATGGTAGCTACACACCGCAAAACTGACGTGACAAAGAAAGCGAAGAATATTCATGGTAAAAACGTTTGGTAAAAACTATAATGAAGGTTAGGATATTAGGGTAACCCAGGAACTAAGGAATGTCAAATACACAAACAGCTAACCGAAAAAAAAAAAAAAAAAAACTTGTCAGTAACACCATGGGGGTGGAGGTTGTACTCCTAAGAATCATTGGAGGAGGGTGTGCCGCCCGGTTCTCCTTATCCTGACCCTATTTCAGACCAAAACATGTCATTTTCCACACCCGTTTTAAGACCTGACCTCTAAAATCCATACCAGTTTTCAAACCTGGAGGCAGTCACAAAACGCAACATACATGTTTACGAAGACAGAAATTAGATCATCATTACTGAGATGAGAGCGCCAACAACAAAAAAGAAATTCTTAAAATTTATTTCGAATTCGCACATTATAGGTTTATATTATTCACCGGCTGGGAGGTCCGTGTTGTGAGAAACTGTGCCCGAGGTTTTGAATACCGCCCCAGGCCGTAGGCCGAGAGCGGTACTCAGACCGACCGTGGACCGACCTAGGCCGGTGAATAACATCATTATTTTTTTCCTACTGAGATTTAAAAGTTTCAGGAAAATTTTACTTCAGCCTCCAACCTATGTGCGTTCGTGTTGATGTTATTTAAAGCGCGCGATCGATTGCAAACCAAAATAAAACATTACAACATGATTTTTAACTTGTAATTTATATTATCACAATTAAGCCCTCTTTTAGAATAAAGGTTTTTGTGTCTTCGTAGGCAAACAAGGATAAAAGAAGTTGAAGAACTTAAAAGCCATAGGAAAGAAAATACATCAAAGATTTTCTTTGGCTGAATATTTACTTTACAATTAAAACAATCGAGAAGGATAAAAACTGCAGAAGGCTTTATAAAAAGAGCTAATTACACATACCAATCTTAGGGTTTTGAAGTGAATTCGAATAAAAGAAGGTGATGTGGGTAACTAAACAAGTATATTAACAAAGAAATAAAAACGGCGATAACCGACTGCTGGAAAAGTTGTTCGTGTTGTTTATTCAAGATTGAAAGCTACATGCAATCGTTTCGAAATCGTTGACAACAACCTTTTCTGAAAACTAGAAAACTAGCGAGGCAAAATTCAATGAAAAACGGCAGAATCTAGATTCAGACAGCAAAAATGGAAAACAAACCTACAAACAGAGGAAAAATGTCGAATAAATGGTGCATAACAGCAAGATTGCAGTACTTACAGCGGCGTAGGTTATAAGACTAGTGAAGCGACATCACGAGCTGCCTGTTGTGCTTTACTTTAGCGGTTTTCCTGGCTGACTTTCTGGACCGTCAGATGTTTTGTCTGAATAACAAAATTCACTTTTCTCTAGATAAAGCTAATAATAGCACAAGTTTTAAAAGAAAAATGGTTCTGAATCACCGGTTTTGCTCATTCACAATTAACGACAAACAAACTTGTGAATGAAGCCGCTAACGATTCCGCCCGGGTTAGCGGGCAAGATCGTAAAAAAACTGCCCGCTCTCAGAACCAATCAGATTGCAGGATTTGGAGGATTCCGCCCGCCCGCAAACTTAGAAAAAATAGTATCTTAATCATTTAGAACCAATTGACAAATATGTCATACACCACCGTAGCTCCCTCGAAAACTATTCCCGATTCCAGACAAATGGGCAAAGTCTTCAACCGTTTTCAGATCAAAACGGCGTAAAAACCCTACCCTTTGGGGCGGCACATACCTATATTGCTTATATAAGGGAGCGTCTGTAGAAATTAAGGAAATTACCGAAATACTTCTCACAAGCAGTATCTGTAGAAATGTATCACGAACTGAATTGCCCCAAAATTACTGAACAATTTTCAATCATTAGAGCATCTCGGGATAGCAATTTCCTTCAAACCTAAATTCCCCCAGAGAAGCATTCCTATCTCCAAAGCTCACGGAGCGACCTCCAAGACCTAATGCAATAAAGACAGTACTGGAAACTCGATTCAACCAGCCTTCTCCACTAGAAGGGGTTGTATATATAATTATCACACATGATGCATAATAAACGTAGCGATCAATATCAAAGTGACATTCGTGAGACACCACTGAAACGATAAAACTAAATTCTTTATACACATATTAAGAATGTTACACATAGTTTGTAAAAAGTGGTTAGCAGTATCACAGACCTTAAGCGGATTTTTTTAAGGTTTATTTAATAATATCATTCTCCTTTGACGACCCATTGCAGAATATGGTCAATCGAATGAGCCTTTAGCAGTCTTGACTGCTTCCATTCAGTCTTACCTTCTCTGATCGATAGATAGAGAAGGGGGCTTCAGAATGACTGTCGGACCGGGAGGAAGCCAGTTACTGAACATTTGTCATTTAATTACCCTTACCAAACCATATGTATTTTGAAACTGATTTTAAAGTGTTTAAAATGTATTTTCAGTATTTAAATACTATTTTCCTGTATTTTAATCCTATTTGACGAAAAAATTTAAATTTTCGCCCCTGTTTGGAATATATCTTAAGTGTAGTTAAATTATATTTCATCAAACGGAAAACCTCTCTCATCAATTTACAATGTATTTTGTTTAATAAATATGATTAAAATAGGGTATTTCAAATGTATTTTGGGCATAGAA